AATGGTGCCCTGCAGAGAAACGGCGCTGAGGAGCAAGCCCAGCATCTGCAGAGGCCTGGGAGGCAGCCTCGCGTCCTCCTCCTGGCTGCTGGGGCAGGAAGCAAAGTAAAATCCGTGGGCGAGCCCGGGGTGCGGCTGCTCTTGAGGATTGGCTCCCGGCCACCTGGGGGCTCATCCCGAGGCGTGAAGATGGAGGCTCAGACCCTCCGGTGGCCGATATCAACCAGCTTTTCCTGGACCGTTGCATTAGTTTCCTAGTCCCACAAACTTGGGGGCTGAAGACAGAAACATGTTCTCTCCCAGTTCTACAGGTTAGAAGTCCAAAACCAAAGTGCTGACAGGGCCACGCAGCCTCTGAAGGCTCTAGGGAGTCTTCTTGCCCCCCTGGCCTCTGGTGGCTGCTGGCAGTCCTTGGCCTTCTTTGGCTGGTGGCCACATAACTCCAATCATTGTCTCCATCATCATATGGCATCTTCCCTCTGTGCGCGTCTCTGTGTCTCTATTTTCTCTTCTTATGAAGACACCAGCTGTTGGATTTGCGCCCACACCCAATCCAGTATGAACTCATCTTAACTAGTGGCATCTATAATTAACTAATTATAGAGACCCTATTTCTAAGTAAGGCCACATTCTGAGGTTCCAGGTAGATTTGAATATTTGGGGGATGCTATTCACCCCAGAACAGCCATCTATTGTAAGCTGTGTCCCAGGGGAATCCAGAGATGCGCGGTGTGGGCCCGGCCCCAGGCCTCGCTGGAGGTGAGACTGACCCACAGAGAACACCAGCAAAGCCCTGCCCAGGCTCCGTCCGGCGCGAGGCTCTGACCTGGGCATTATGACGGACGTGGGGAGGCACCAGGGACAGCCCCGGCTCTGGGAGCTGCCGCTTCAGTCAGCCAGGGAATTGAAGGCACAATTGTATAATCGAAGGTGGCCTGTTTTAAGGAGAATAGAAGTACAGTGTGATTGCACATTTGTTGATCATTTATCACGTTAACGGTGGGACACACTAGGAGAGGGGTAACATGAGAAAGACACATTCCTGGAGGACACCTTCCTGCTGGGATAGAATGGGTGCTGGCATCCAGCTTCTGGCCTCCCGTGGCCACCCACCCACCCATCATCGGCACGCTGACTGATGTGGCTCTTACCAAGGTCACAGTATGTCCTTGTTGACTCCAGGGCCTGTTCTATCCTCATTCAACTTGAGGGCTGTCAGCACCTCTGCCCCTGTTGCCTGCCTGCTTCCCCTCTAAAGCCCTCTGACCCTAGGCTCTGTGACTCCACCCTCTCCTATGTCCCTCCGACTCCCCCGACTGCTCCTTCTCAGTCTCCATCACTGGCTCCTCATTCTGGAACATTCTGTAAATGTCCCTGTAACTGGCTCTCTCCTGGGCCACTCTCTTCTCCCTCTGCCTGCTCTCCCTGAGGGCTTATCCCCATCCAGGGCTCTCTTTGCCATATGCCAAGGCAAAGGTGCACCAATATCTCCACCTTTGTCCCTCTTCTCAGATTCAGAACCATCCATCCAACTGTGCCTAGGACAGCTCTCTCAGATTTCTCTTGGGGAGTCAACATGTCCCAAATGGGACTCACAGCCATTCTTTGTCGCCCCCACCCTGTCCCAACCCTACGTCTCCTACAACATTCCCACTTCAGTGGACAGACCCACCCAGAAAACCAAGAGTCACCTCTGAAACCTCCCCACACCCCGGCACTGTCCTAGTGGTTTTCTCTCCCTGATTTCTCCCACTTCTGCCACCACCTTAATTCAGCCCAAAATAACCCCACACATCCTGACCAGTCTTCTGGCCTCTAATCTGCCTCCTTCCACTAGGGCCGTTTGTTCTTCCATCATCATTGGGTAAATAGGTTCTAAGCATCCACTGTGCGCCAGACCCTGCTCTCGGCTCTGGGGAACCTTTCTTCTCATGGCCTTTAGAGCCTAATGGGGGAGAAAGACAACACACAAATCACAGAGGAAATATCAGGGCCCTTGAAATGGGCGGTAGGGGGGCCCGGGTGGCTACTTTAGGTTAGGGGGTCAGGGGAGGCCTCGATGGGAAGGTGATAATGACAGGAAGGAGCCAGCCACGTGAAGATCATGGGAAGAACATTCCAGGCAGAGGGAATAACGAGAGCAAAGTCCCCAGGGAGAGAACAAGCCTGGCGTGTTGGAGGAGCTGAGGGGGCTGCTGTGGCCGAGCAGAGTGAGGGAAGGTGCAGTGGCATGAGAAGGGGCCAGGGAGGGAGGCAGGGGCCAGGCCACGTGGGGCCCATCAGCCAAGGCAGGGAGCTGGGATTTCATCCTGAGGACAGTGAGGGCCACGGGAGGGCTTGAAGCAGGTGAGTTGACATGCTTAGGTTTACGTTTTCAAGACCCCCTGGCTGCTGCATAGAAAATGAGTTGTGTCTCCAGTCACAGGGAGACCACGCTGGACGCTCTTGCATCAGTGCAGGCAAAAGACGACAGTGGCTCCGACGGGGCTGGTAATGACACATCCCAAGAGACACAGCTTGGGGCTGTTCGAAGGTAGAAGCAAGGGTCCTGCTGGTGATCTGAGCACGGAGGGTGAGAAAGAGACTGATGGGTCATGCCTGGATGTGGGGCTTGAACTACTAGAGGGACACTGGACCATTTCCTGAGATGGAGGAGCTTGAAGAAGAAGCAAGTCTGGGAGACAAGGGAGTCTAGGGTTTGGTTTTGGTCATGTTATGGTTGATAGACTTATTAGAGTCGCCGAGTGTACAGCTGGGCATGCAAGTCTACAAGCCATGGAGAGGTCCAGAATGGAGATAAAATGTAGGAGTTGTCAGCTCACAGATGGAATTTAAAGTCATGGGTCTAAATGTGACCACTGCATGAAAGAGCGTAGATGGAGAGGAGAGGGGGCAGGCTCAGCCGTGGCTCCCCAGCGTTTGGATGTCAAGCAGAAAAGGAGCTGGCAAGGAGGCTGAGGAGAGGCAGCCAGCGAGACGGGAGGAGGATGGGGAGGACACGATCCCAGGGAGGCCAGGAGGAGAGGGTCTTTCAAGAAAAAGGACGTGGCAGCCGTATCAAATGCCAGGTGGAGAGGAGAGGCAGAGCCTTCCAGGCAGGGGAAACCCCATGTAGGAAAACCCTAGGGCAAGAGGGAGCAACAGGAGTGTGAAGACCCCAGAGAAGTGGCTGAAAACTCTGGACAAGATGGCGCCAAGCCTGTCTCTGAGCTCAGAGCCCTGGCCTTCCCCAGACGGACAGGACAGCAAGGACCAGGAGCCCCTCTGACTCACGTGGCCCAGGAGAGCTCGTGCCTCCACCGCGTCCCCCTCCTTATTGTGCAGCAAGAGGAAAGGCTCGGGCCCTGACTTTCCTGCCTTCCTTCGCTGTTGGCCCAGCAACCATTGGTAGGTCTGCAGGCCCCAGGAAGGCAGTTTCCCCATCCCCGGGATCAGGGGGACATCCCACACCTGCTCTGAATCCCAGAGACAAACTCCCTCCTCATTGCTCCCCATTGGGGTGCAGGGGCTGGAGGCAAGCCCCGAAGCAGGAACAAACTGTGACTCACTCCCAAATGGTGTGTGGATGTCGGGCCCATCTGAGACAGCTCTCAGCCCTGACCACTGCTGGAATGCAGGAATCCTGCAGATGGGCGGGGAGACTGCCTGGCAGGCCTCCTTGGGCAATTACACCCTAGTTCCTAAATCAGTTACATCGGACTCCCATTATCCTACCACATCATTTGGGTGAGGATTAGCTGGGCTCCAGAAGGTATAGCCTCGAAGAAAGGCCTGTTGGCAAAGCTGGGACCCCAGAGAGACCAGCAAGCCTGGGGACACAGCCAGTCCAGGCCAGAGTTATACTGGCTTCCTTAGCGTTTTGTAGGATCCAGCCCCCAGAATCCACCTCCCTGAAAAAGAATGAAAGATGCTGATCTGTTTATCCAGCGGTGGGGAGCAACGGTCCCGAAGCTGCAAGACTCAGAGCATCATCAGCAAGGAGAAGAGGCTGGGGGCGGAGTGGGAGCTGGTGTGGCCTCCAGGAGGAAGTGAGTTCCTGGAGGTCCCAGAGCAGAGTGACAGGAGACACTTCTCATCCAGTCCAGCTCCATGCAGGGCTGAGAAGGCAAAACAGCTTCTGGCCGGGACTGAGAGCAAGGCCTCTCCTTTTAAAAGCTCCTAAAAATATACACGTTTCTGATTCCTTCCAAGAGGCCCAGCGACCTTGTCCCCACCTCTGTGACAACAGGACATTCAAAATAGTCTGATAGGCTGAAGACCAGCTTCCTCCACTGCAGCAACCTGCTGATACTTTGCACTTGTGAACTCAAAGTCCTTTGTTTGAGAAATAAAAGTGACAGGCAGGTATGTGGCAGATGTTCTATTCTTAGTAAGAATAAGAGGAGACATTCTGAAAAATCAGTGGCAGAGTGGTAATAGTCGACACACCGGAAACAAACTTAGAATCTTCAAGAGTTAGAATTTGAAGGAAACTCAGTTGTCATGTAGTCCAGCCTCCTCCTCCTTCTGGAAGGAATGTAGGCCCCAAAAAGAGTGATGACTTGCCCCAAACCGTGCTGAATCAGGACAGAAGCTCCTCCTGACTCCTCATTCAGCGTGCTTCTGTCCCCCTTTCCTCTACTGCCCCTTCTCCATCGCACAGCCAGACTCATCGAAGCTCTGGAAGCAGGGACACAAGAGCGGCCGAGAAAGGAGCCGGCCTGAAGCCTTGGGTGATGTGTGGATTGCGGTTTCTTTGCTGGGTCAATTTTGTCTCAGGTGTCCTGGCTGATTGAGCCCATGCTCCTTCCCAGCATTCGCAGTGACAAGAGAGGGAACAGCCACCTGGCTCCCACCCAGTGCTCCAAGCCCCTCAGCAGAGGGACCAGTTCTGACATCAGCAGATGGGGAAGTCCCCCGAGTGTCCTTTGTCCTACCCAAGTCCAAGAGGTGCTGGGATGTGCGCAGGGAATTCTGCCCCAGCCCTCACCCCATCCGGCGGCACCCACATTTAGAAGCGCTGGTGACATCTTTAGATTTTAATCCCTTGGAGGTTGTTTTGTTCTCCAAGGTCACCCCAAGCGAAATTGCTAATTCAGTCACTTCAATGGCACCACACTGCATCCATTGGTTTTGAGATACAGGGGAGAGCTGACAGACCCCTGAGCTGCTGTGATTGTCTCTTTCTGCAAAACCTGCCTCTTGGCACAGAGCTGCCCACCCAGGGGTTACAGCAGCTGCCATCTGGGTGCGGACCATCTGCCAGGCCCTATCCATTAGTGGACGGACTCATTCAAACTTCCCAGCAGCCTACAAGTCCCCCAGTCTACAGATAAGGACACTCTGACACAACAGCTCTGCAAGCTAGCCATGCAGAGAGAATCGTACATAGATGGTCTGACCTCATCCACCCGCTCATGACCTTCCCACAATAAGAGTCTTCCTCTGAACCTCTTCTCCCTACAATTGTGCTGCTTCTGACCTGGCCTCCAGATCTGGAAGCATCCTTGTCCCTGCTTCTCCCTCCCCATGATCCTCTCCCGCCATGCCAAGCAGTTTGCAAATTAAGACCTTCAACCCCACAGAGCTTCCTCCTCTTGGCCACTTTTGTCTCTCAGGCCTTCATCATCTCGTACCTGGACTGGGGCCTCCCAATTGGCTGCCACTTTCTTTCCCTTCCTGTCCATGCTGTGTATGTATGACTCGTGCATTCGGAAAAGATTGACAGAGCACCCACTGTGTGCCAGGCACTGAGCAAAAGGCTGTCCCCTGGGAGAGACAGAAAGAAAACCAGCAGTCATAACCCAGTGCAGTAAGATCCGGTAGAGAGGGAGGCACGGGGCTGCGGGAGCCTGTCGGGAGGGTAGTGGTCATCGGTTCCTTGGGAAGGTGGGGATAAGCTAACTCTCCAGCATGGAATACAAGCCCTGTATAAGCTGACCTCAGCCTGTCTTTCTCAGCTCATCACTGGAGCATAATGCTCCACCCTCCACTCTGCTGAAATACTCAGACTTCCATGTTGTTTCTCACCTCTGGGCCCTCACACACGCTGTGCCCACTGGTCCCTTAGGTCTTTCCCCTGTGGTCAGTTTAGAGAACTCCTGCTTTATTGAAAATTTCTGCCCTAAAACCCCTCCGCTGTAAAAGCTGACTTCCCACCTCGTCCTGTTTGCCCACACGCAGGATGCCTTCTTTTTGTTTGGCTTTCCCATCACACTTTGTAAATTCCTCTGTTAGCAATTCCCTCTTTGTAATCATTTATTCAGCAACTGGTAATGGAGTCCCCATTAGGTGCCAGGCACTGGGCCAAGTGCTGGAATCAAAACAAATAAACAGAAACAGATGAGGTCCCTGCGCTCACCCAGCTTACCATCTGGGGGAGGAAAAATCAGACCTGACCACCAAGCTTCCCACAACTGAGAGTTTAGGGAGTTTGTAATGGGAGGAGGCAACTTCTCAGGGAGGACTGGAGGGGATTTCTTGAAGAAACGACCCTTGAGCTGAGATCTGAAGGGGCAGAAGTTAACTCCATGAAGAGGGGAGGCAAGAATATCCCAGGCGGAGGGAACAGTATGCACAGAAAGCTTTGTGGGGGGAGGAAGTCTCATGAATGTAAAGGAGCACGTGAAGGCTGATCAGGTGGAGAGGGAGGCAGGGATCAGACCAGACAAGCTGGTTGGGTGCTCAGGTGCAGGGCTGTGTGGGAAGGCATTGAGGGTTTGAGAGGCAGTGACATGACCAGGTTTGCATTTTGAGAAAGGCTCTTGGCTGCTGTGTGGAGAACAGATTGAAGCAGGGCCAGAGCGGATGAGTGTAGATAGTTAGGCTAGAGATGATGCTGAACTTGGCGGTTCTGGAGAGAAGGGACAGAGTCAACAGACTTCTAGGAGGTGGGATCAATAGGACTTGTAGATGGATTAGATATGGGGGCTCTGTGTCATACACCCTCTAGAGGACTGGTCACGAGTTGGGTCTGAGTTTGAAGGGCCTTTGGGACATCATGTGAAAAATCAATAGTCAGCAAGTGGTCATAGGCTCCAGAGCTCAGAGAAGCATATAGGCAGGAGAGAGAAGCCTGTGACATGTCTGCATGGAGGGGGCACTGGACGAAATGAGTCAAGGTGTGTGGATGAAATTGACAAAGATGAGAATATAACCGAATCATGGGGCCAAAGACTTTTGTCTTAATTATCATTATGCCCCAAAAGGCCGTAATACAGTGCTCAATAAATGTTTCTTCAAAGGATGGACAGATGTATGGATGGATGGGAGGGTGGACGGACGGACAGAAGGATGGATGAATGGATGGATGGATGGACAGCCAGTGGTGTCTTTGTGACCATCACCCTCCCTGCTGACTGACCTCAGCTTTGAGCTGCAACATCTCTAATGTCCTCCCTGATGTCAGAACCAGGCGAGGGAGGGTGTCCAGAACTGACCAGGCACCATCGCCCCCTTTCTGGTCTCTCTGTTATTGGACAAGCTTCAGGCAGATAACCCAACACAAGAATGAAGAAGTTTAACTGTAAGGTCTTTTACTAAACATACCCTGGGGTTGCCTTCAGAGCTTTTAAGGGGCCACCTGGTGAGGACAGAGAATTCTCTCCTCAGCTCACTAGGGCTGGAAAAGGAAAGGAAAAAGCAAGTCTCTCCCCTGAGCTGCTCAGACCTATCCACCCTCCATGCCTCAGAAAGGAAGGGGACTTCCCGGCCAGGTCTTTGGCAAATCATTGCATGGTGTTTCACAGTCCTGGGTCCTGGAGGAGGATCTCAACTGACCCTCTGTGACTCCCCCATCATCTGACCCAGTCCACCTTAGCCTGATGAATAAATGAATGAGTTAATGACTGGGTAGGTAGCAGAGTCAGGAGCCATGAAAACCTGCCTATCCACACTCACCCCCATGGAATCCCACTGCCCCCAAGTACACTGGTATGACAGTGACAGCCATACCAGCCAGGCCCCGTGCCAAGTGCTTCATGTTTGTGGTCCTGTTGAAGCCTCACAACACCCATCTCCTTTGCCACCTGTGGCCTCAGGTTGTCATTCTAAGGTAGGCAACTCACCCCTCAACCGGTCGTAAACCACTATGGAAGAAACAGCCTTGGTAGAAGGCAGCCTGTCCACTCGCCTGTCAGTCACTTGTACCTGCTGAGCCCCAGCTGCCTGAGGGGCACTCTGCTGGACCCAGGTCTTTAAATGCCAACTGGGCATGACCCCACCTCTGGGAGCTCATGGCCCAGGACATGGGGCAAATCGGACAACACCATTGGTATGATGAGTGCTCCACAGGGGCAGGTTCTGGGTGTTAGGGGAGCATGTGACAGGGATGGGGGGAGTCCTTCTGTGTCCCCATCAGAAGAGAATGTACTTAATCTTATATGAAAACTATAATGCTTGTTCATAGGAGTGCTCCTCATATGTAGAAAGAATGTGCATGAGTTAGCCAACTGCGAAGACCATGCTCAGGTTCGATAATTCAGTAAATGGACTCACAGAACCCACAAAAGATGTTATACCCACAGTTACAGTTTATTACATCAAAAGGATACAGATTAAAACCAGCCAAGGGAAGAAGAGCATAGGGCAGAGACCAAGAGGGCACCAAACACCCAGCTTCCGTTGTCTTCTCCCCGTGGAGTTGTGGACAGTGTTACTTGCCCGGCATCGATGTGCAATGATGCTCATGGAGTATCGCCAGCCAGGGAAGCTCACTCAAGCCTCAGTGTCCAGAGTTTTTACTGGGGCTCCATCATGGAGGCATGAATGATTGCCCACCTAGTGATCTGTCTCCAGCCTCTCCAGAGTGGGCTGATATGTGTGACCAAAAGCCCCTACCCTAAGTCACATTGTTGGTCCTTCTAGTGTGGCCAGCCCCCACCCTACAACTAGCCCATGTGGCCAGCTCTTACCTTAAATCATATCCTTAGACTATCCAGTGACCAAAGGCCCCCAGGCAAACAAAGACACTCCCATCAAGCAAGACATTCTGAGGGCTTAGAGATCACCTCCCAGAAGGCAAGGACAAAGGCTAGACCTCTCTTTGGGCAAGGTTAAGTTCTTCACTGCACAAAACGGCCCCTCCCCCTCCTCTGCCCCCACCTGCCTTCCCTGGCCTCCCCTGCTCCTCACCTCAGCAGACCAATTTCTTTTTGCTGTGCTTGTCAAGAAAGGAAACGGTGAGTGTCCAATGTGGTTTTTTTTTGTTGTTGCTGTTGTTTTTAAAGTGTTGCCCCTACACAGATCTTGTGTAGTCCTCAGCAGTTCTTTGGGGCAGAAGAACACATTTTATTATGAAAAATGGTTTGGGTGAATACTTTGTCTTCTGCAGAGAATATTGTGCGAAGCTCGGGATTCCCTGGGCAGAGATGTGAAATTAACTAGCTTACAGATCAGTCCACCTAAATGTGAAATTAAATGCGAAATTCCAGGAGCCTTTGACAGCTAAGGTTATTATTGTAACATATTATTTCAATTACCTCTTTAAATTACTCACCTGTGCTACGGCCTGTGGTGCTCTGTAAACGAGCCCGCACCCCATTTCCATCCTGCAGACAGCACCCCTGGCTCCAGCAATGTTCTTTTCTCACTACAGTGTTCTCCTGATGGTTCCATTTGCTGCCCGCAGGGTTATGAGCAGCTCCATTTGGAGACGCCCGGCTTCCTCCCTCCCGCCCTCTCTCCCCCTCTCCCTCTCCAGGGCTGGGGCGGGGAGCCTGGAGGAAGCCCCAGAACCAGTGCCCCTCTTCCAATAGTGCTCCCCCTCCTTCCCCCAACACTGAAGGGAGTAGACCTGACCTTGCAAATGATGACCAGCTGGGTGCAGACGGGGATTTCAGAGCCAGGGTGGGGACCTGGGCAAAGAGCATTCCTACTCAATAATTCACCTTTAAGAGAAAAGGAAGACATAGATGCAGCATTCAGCCATCTTCTAAGATGTTAATAATCCAGTGTGATTCTTAAGACATAAAAAATGCATCAAGGCTCTAATTTTATAAGGTTGGTGATGTTTCTTATGACATCAGAAGGCCCGGCCTGGGTCACCTGGGAACAGCTAAAGCCAGTGGAAACTCCGGTGTGTAGCTCTGAGCAGGGCCT